CACACACACACACACACACACACACACACACACACGTGGCCACAGGGGCTGTTGTGGTGAACATCTTCCACACACAGACACACACACGTGCACAACCTCCTAACAAGTCGGTCAACGTCCTATGAAACAGTCTGGCGCAGCAGTGCTTTTCTCTGTGGAGTTGTGTGTAGCGGATATGACCACACACACACACACACACACACACACACACACACACACACACACACACACACACACACACGTGGCTTGCATTTTTTATTATATTGCCTATCTATACTTTTTCATTATGGATGGCTTGTGATGATCGGTGAAGAGAACGAGAGAGAATATCTGGGGTCTTTTAAAACAACACATACACACTCTGCCTCCTTTCCTGGTGTTCAAGTGGGCCGGTATGGCACACGGGGATGTGGGCAGCTCGCGCTCAACCACAATCAACATGGCGAGCCTTGTACGTGACAGGCACAGTAAACGGGGAGTTGCAAGGACAGTACCCAAAAACGGCAAAGATAGCACAGTTAAGAAAGGGATTTAAACACTTGTATGATGCTCTGTGTTGCTTGCTATAAACTACCATCTTCCTCCAAACATAACGCACACCCCGAAAATGAATGTATGCAAGGCATGTTTCCAGCCCGATACAGTCAAAATGAGGGAAGACGGTAGTATAAAGGTAACACTGTTTCATTGTTGGATTGTCTCAACACCTATTCATCTGGGTGGAATAGGGGTTGTTGTGGTGAAAATTTGAAACACACACACACACGCACGGACAATCAGTCAAATGCATCCTGGGTAGACTGTTGGTGCTCAGCCTCATGATTGAGTTGGTGATAGGCCGACAGAACAGTCTGGTACAGGCATGCTTTTCTTGTGGAGGTGTGTGCAAGGGGAACATGACAACACACACGCACCACATACCCCCATCTGGATGCAAATGGGGCCACTGTGTTGATTGTTTAATGGGGTACTGTGGCGACTGTTTAAATGGGGCCACTGCGGTGGTAACGGCGACCACTGTGGTAAGAATGTTCCAATTGGGGCCACTGCGGTGGTAACGGGGACCACACGCACACATACACCGATCTGGATACAAATGGGGCCACTGTGGCGATTGTTTAAATGGGGCCACTGTGTTGATTGTTTAAATGGGCCAATGCGGTGGTAACGGGGACCACTGTGGTAAGAATGTTCCAATTGGGCCCAATGCAGTGGTAATGGGGACCACTGGGGTAAGAATGTTCCAATTATGTTAAGTATGCATCTGGTTGCAAACGGGGCCACTGTGTCGATTTGCTTAAAGCTCACAGACATGCAGGTTTGTTGATCCTCTCCCTTTGCCCCCATCTTTGTACCTTAGATCAGTCCAAACCTTTACCAGATTCTGTCACAATACCTGCTTTGGTTTCTGTATGAAGTTTCATGTAGGTTTCCTCTTTTTCCTATTTCCTTTGCACATTAGCGCACTTTCAGACGCTCCAGTTACGCTCCAGTTTCACTTTCGCGGTCTATAAGGGTGTTGCCGCACGGCACATGAAATGAAAAACGAAATGTGTGCATCTTCCCACAGAAAATGGCCAGATTCATTGGTTTGCGATAAATATTAAGGAGTGTACTTTGCCACGCTTGATGGGCAGATGCACTTGGTTCGTTTTCGTTTCGTGTGCTGTGTGGCGAGACCCATAGTGTTCCAGTCCGTCGAATGGTTGTGCTGAGTGCAAGTGGTGAGTCCCCTCCTCAGTAGGTTCTATGTGTAGTTTCCACATCGGGTTCCTATGAGAGGGTGATTTCATTTCATGAAAGCGGAATTGCATGTGATGATTTTCCACAGACATGTCGCATCTCACCAACTGGAAGGAGTAACACAGCTTTATGACCAGGCTTCTTTTCCTAAGCTCAAACATAGAATCGGTGGTGCTGCCTCACGGCTTAGTGGTTGCCATTGGCACACAGGTTTTCTAAAAGGGGTTTTAGAAAACCTGTGGGAATGGCGAACCCTGAAGCACGGGGCAGGCCCACCGATACTGAGTCATCTGCCCCCTTTTAGAAAACCTGTGTGGCGATGGCAAACCCTAAACCACAGGGCAGCCCCACTTTAAGTCAAATCTGAAAGTAGAAAGAATATTACGACGTCGTGATGTCTGAGTGATGAAGAAGCTCAATTGATAGAGATGGCCTGGTGAGCTGTGACATGTTCATCTTCCCCTGTGCTGCAGGTTATTTGGACCCAGAGTATTATAACCTGTCGCTGCTCTCCGAGAAGAGTGATGTATACAGTTTCGGCGTGGTACTGTTGGAGATCTTGACTGGGAGGGAACCCATTTTTCCTGCAGAGAGTGGTGGCAAGGTTGCACTTCCTGACTGGGTAAGCAGTCCTTTGAGGACCCATTTGGAAAGGGGGGTAGCCCCTAACCTCTATTGCACCCATCTGATGCCCGCAGGAATCGAGCTCGTAATTAATTTGTTTATTATTATTATTATTACGGTAATATTACCTAATAAGTTATTATAAACACAAAATTTAACAGTTACATGTGTCCCATTCGGCCAAATGTCCCGGGTTGGGTAAGCAGTCCAAATGATGGTGGAAAAGCAATGTTTTTCATTGTTTGTGTAATTCTTCCTCAGCAGTGTTCTGAAAGACTCTGGGCATCCCTTTGTACTCGATGTAAGCGGACACACGGACATGCGTTGTATGCACCCCGTACTACGCATTATCTTTTCTTCATACACATTTGTACGCGCGTAAAAAACAGCTTTCTTTTTCGTTTTTTATTGTTTGCGACATGGTTGCATCCCTGCCGACCGCCGAGCCCGACTGCTGACCGTATTGCAGCCGACCCGTAGGGCCGACTGGTCGGCGGTCTGCCGACCAGTCAGAAAACAGCTATCCACTATTTTCTTTTCAGATCTGAGTTGGAAGCTGTACTGCGCTTGCTGTGAAATTTCAGATCCCCTGAGAATTTTTTGGGGATGGGGGGGTTGGGGAAGGGGTGTATAGGGGGTATAGGGG